AAGCAGAGTTGAGGCCACATTGCACAGGTACAGGCAGGCAATAGCAGCGCAGCTGGCCTGATCAGAATGAGACCACTACTGGCCATCCCCTCTGGGCACTGAGCCCTCTGCTGGGCACCCCCACCTAGTCATTCCCATAGGAGGCCAAGGAAATGACAGTGGAGGGGAGTCTTTCTCTGTGCCTGGAAGACACCTCAAACCTGTTTGTCCAAGAGTGCCTGTGAGCTCTCCACTGTCCACACAGCCCAGAAAGTGGCTGGCTTGCCGGCTGGCCTGCCTGCCTGCCTGCCAGCTTGCTTTGGAGCTCTTGCCCCTAAGAGCAGAGCCCAGGGCAGGGATTGACAAGCAAAGGGAGAGAAGAGCAGGGCTGTAGTCCTTACCTAGCAGCAGGAAGCCCACCCAGCTGGGGCCAGGCAGCCCCTGGGAACAAGGTGCCATGTCCACACTCCACAGGCAGTGCCAGCTGCTGGGACGGTGGAGAGGAGGCGGACTGCTGCAGCAGAGTACAGCCACTCCTCTCAGGTGCCCTTCTGGCTCGGGACTAAACAAGGTGGAGCCAAGAGGGCTCTCTGCTTCTCCTCCTCCCCTCCCCTCTCCCTCCCACTGGCCAAACCAGGAAGCCTCTCCCAGTCTTGCTGCTGCTACAGCTGAGGCTGCCTCCACCCTGACTTCCCTGGGGCAGGCAGTAGTTTCCAGGGAGGAACTGGGGCTGTAGCTTGACTGCACGTAGCACTCCTCAATGTGTAGGGCTGATTGTGATTCGTCAGGGGAGGCCCTCCCCACATGCTCAGGAGCGCTCTCTTTCTGCTAACTTCAATTCTTCCATAGCTGAGCAGGGGGTGCTTAGCTCCAGCGAAGAGAGGGGGAGGAGAGATTGCCATTCTCCATTTTGGCATCTACCTGATGATCAGACCAGGAGCACCTCGTTAAGTCATGGCAGAAGCAAGAGGCGAATGCTGGTGCTCTGTGTCAACGGCTTTGCAAAGTTCTCCACCCTGTTTGTGGTCAGAGGAACTGGGAGAACATAAGAGCCCAGCTGTGGGATCAAGGCAGTGGCCCATCCAGTCCAGCGTCCTGTTCTCACAGTGGCCAACCAGATGCCCATTATGGGAAGCCCACAAGCAGGACTTGAGTGCAGCAGCGCTTTCTTCTCCTGTGTTTTCCAGCAACTGGTATTCAGAGGCATGATGCCTCTTAGCAGAGGATATACAAACTACCCATCCTGGCTAGTAGCCACTGGTAGCTTTATCCTCCATGAATTTATCTACTCCTCTTTTAAAGCCAGGGACCCAGTTGGTGCTGTGGGTTAAACCACAGAGCCTAGGACTTGCCAATCAGAAGATCGACGGTTCGAATCCCCGCAATGGGGTGAGCTCCCGTTGCTCGGTCCCTGCTCCTGCCAACCTAGCAGTTTGAAAGCACGTCAAAGTGCAAGTAGATAAATAGGTACCGCTCCGGCGGGAAGGTAAACGGCGTTTCCGTGCGCTGCTCTGGTTCACCAGAAGCGGCTTAGTCACGCTGGCCACATGACCCAGAAGCTGTATGCCGGCTCCCTCGGCCAAGAAAAAGCGAGATGAGCGCCGCAACCCCAGACCTAATGGTCAGGGGTCCCTTTACCTGTACCTTTTATCTTTTAAAGCCACCCAGCTTGGTAGCCATCACTGCCTGCTGTGGGAGAGGATTCCATAGTTTAACTATGCCCTGCATGAATAAATCCTTTATTTTTTCTGTCCTGAAGTTCTAATGTTATGAGATGGAGGGGGAGGGAATCTCTGACCACTTTCTCCATGCCATCCATAATTTCAACACATCTATCATGTTTCCTCTTACTCAGAGGAGTTACCCTTTCCCTGAATTTCTTCAGAGAGAGATGGCAGTGAAAGTTGCAGCATTGGGGACTTTTTAGTTTAATGTCCCCCAGATCAAACCTTGTTCCAGGGCACAGGGATGGGGGGAAATATGTGGAGAATGTTCTGAAAAGTGGCTTCCTTTTTCCCCCTAAGGGTGTGAAAATAGATACTGGGCACTCAGTCAGAAGAAAAATGTCTTCTGAGGAATTTCAGCTCAGCCCTAGTGAATACCTTCCAACCTTAATGCTGCTGGGATAAGAATTTAAAATGATTTATTGCAAGTGATCAGTAAGAATAAGGCTTTCAAGGAGCTCCAGGCAGATCTCAAAATGAAAGGCAGAGGCAGGGAGATCATTGCTGGCGGGGTGGGCAAAGACAACAAGGAAGCCTTCACAATGACAAACTCTAAAGCCTAAGAAGCATGCATATGTGTATGGGGGGTGGGGGGGTTACAGTGTCATTTCACACATGCTCAGAGGCTCTCTCTTCCGTTGATGAGCCGAGCCCTGCCTTGCAAGCAGGTTCTGGAGCAGGCACCTGTTGATGTTTTATGCACCTTAGGCCAGGTCCAAATAACAGGTGACATGACCATCAGCACAGGGGTGGCCGAAGCAGCATGCAGCAGGGTTGTTTAGGGCAAAGCCCCCCACATCTGGCCTGCAAGCCCTTCCCCACCCCCAGCAATGCTTCCCTGCCAGTCCGGCTGTTGTGCCTTCCAAGAGTGCAACAGAGAACTCTTGAGCATGGACGGTGGCACAGCGAGGCCTCCTTCTCTGGGGCTGTGGGAAGGGCATACAGCTGGGGTCAGGTCTCAACATGTAGCAACAGCAGCAAGGATTGCTGAACAGGTTCCTACTCTGGTGATGAGAGGATGGGAGGGAGCTGGGCTGGCTCCACAAAGGCACTTTGTGCTTTCTGGCCTGGCCGAAAGCTGATCCGACAGAAAAGGATGGATTGCATTTGAGCTGATTTTCCCTTTGTCTGGCCTGAGAAGTAACCATCAGAATGGGGCAGTCAGCTCAGAGAACCACAGCAGCTACTTCTCAGGGCTTCTGAGTCTCCAGTGCTCTGCACTCCCTTCTAAACATTCTCTAAATATCCTCTAAATATGACCATGCAGTGTGTGCAGCAAGACTACTTGGGAACAAAATATCTTCCATTCATGTTATATTGATGTCACTTGGCTGCTGGGAGAGCTTTCCCCAGGGAGATCTTATTAACCCTCCCCCCAGATAACTTAATATCCTCTCTGCCTCTGCCCTCCTCCCCAGGTTGTCCTCTCTTGTCCTGCGGATCCTTTACAACAGAGAAGAATGCACACATCCCAAATGAGCTGGATTCAAAGGCAAGAGGAAGCCACTGACAGGGGCGTCAGAATAATTCTGCACCAGATGCAGCAGGCAAAACAGAACCCACAAAGTACGGCATCCTATTCTCACAGCTGCCAACCAGATGCCCCAAAGCATGGGTAGGCAAACTAAGGCCCAGGGGCCGGATCCAGCCCAATCGCCTTCTAAATCTGGCTCACGGACGGTCCGGGAATCAGCATGTTTTTACATGAGTAGAATGTGTCCTTTTATTTAAAATGCATCTCTGGGTTATTTGTGGGGCATAGGAATTCGTTCATTCCCCCCCCCAAAAAAAATATAGTCAGCCCCCCCCCAAGTTCTGAGGGACAGTGGACTGGCCCCCTGCTGAAAAAGTTTGCTGCCCCTGCCCCAAAGGGAAGAGGCCCACAAGGAAAAACTGAGCGCCACAGCCACACTCTCAGCTTCATTGACTGTGAACCCCAAACTTTGCAGTGCCAAAGTTTTGTAGCATTCTGCAGAGCAAACCCCATGTTTTGCAGCAACCGAGCTCAAACTGGGGAGGGTCATAGGTATCATCCCAAAACTCAACATAGTCTGGTTCACTTCAAACCGGTGCCAAAGTTTTGAATTGTTTTGTAGTGCAAACCCCACATTTTGTAGGACCCCCCCCAAACTGAGGAATTGATACTTCAAAGCAGGGTTCATATTTAACACCCCGAAACCCAACACGGTCCAATTTACTGCAAAATGTGGGGGTTTTGCACTACAAGATTCTGCAAAACTATTACAAAACTTTGGCACTAGTTTGGAGATCCCAAATCTTGGGGTTCATAGTTAATGAAGCTCACTCTACAATTGTGATTCCTCGCAACTGGTATTATTCAGAGGCATTTACTGCCTCAGGGGGTAGCATGCAGCCATTGTGACTAAGAGTTATTTGTGGCCTTAAAACAGTGGTACCTCAGGTTAAGTACTTAATTCATTCTGGAGGTCCGTACTTAACCTGAAACTGTTCTTAACCTGAAGCACCACTTTAGCTAATGGGGCCTCCTGTTGCTGCCGCGCTGCCAGAGCCCGATTTCTGTTCTCATCCTGAAGCAAAGTTCTTAACCTGAAGCACTATTTCTGGGTTAGCGGAGTCTGTAACCTGAAGCGTATGTAACCTGAAGTGTATGTAACCTGAGGTACTACTGTATGCAATCCTAACTCTGCACCCACTGCTCAGTTTAGGAAAGAGAGACAGTTCTCCTAGGAAAACCCAAGCCATCTCCTATCCCTCACGTGGCTGGCTGGCTGGTGGCAGCAGTAAACACACCCAGGACACCCCAAAAATTGTTGATCCAGGACAAACCGCCACCTGCCAGAAATTCCCCCCAGACGTCACTTCCACCTTTGAAATCCCGGGAAAATCCGCAGCCCTACTCCCCATGAGGTGTAACCATCCTGGCCCTCAACACTGACCTACCCAGCCAAGACAAAGTCCCAGCTCTGACATTCAGTGAGCTTGTGAACATGCCATAGTCACAAGAAGCAAACATTCATCTGCATGCTATTATAGAGAGCTCTTGGCTGCTGTATGAATATCACCGCAAAGGGGTGCTCTGCTGGCACTTGGAACCCCAACCCTTGGTTCTGGCTCCCCGCAGCCACTGCTGCACCCAGACCTGGCACATGCACAGGGCTTGAAAGCTTCCATGCTAGTATGAAACATGCAGTATGCACAGAAGCCTGCAATTCTCACATGCAATCCTGACACTCACAATGATCGCTTGATGTTGAGGCCCGGATGCCCTCTCAAGCTGGTCACCCCAAGAGTTTGCACAGACGAAACAGAGAGACGAACAGTTAGCAAGTTTTATTCTATTGTAAACAACACACTAACACAAGGCTGCATTGGAAGAGTTTGAAACCACTGTTACGCGTTTCTCAAGGTCCGCTAGCTTGCTTTTCAGCTCCCTGTTTTCTTTATGTACTTGTTGTAAATGCTTTCCTTGTATCTGGTTCTTCCTCTCCAAGGAGGTAATGCTGCCTCGGAGAGTATCCACCTTGGCCACCATCTCTTCTAATTGTTTCATCAGTTTAGCCATTTCTTTGGTGGTTTTGTTAACTTTCTGGTCAACGTCTTCTGGGTCCTGGTGTGGTTGTATTGTGTGACTATTTCCTGGGCCCATGGCGGTCTCTGTGGTTTCAGTATCCCCCTTGGTTGTGGCCATTTTGGCTTTCCCGTCAATCCCTCTTTCGGGTTGTGTGGTGTGGCTTTTGGCGGTAGGGGTTCTGCAGGTCTCTTGCCGTTGTGTCTTGCTTTCACCTTACATACCCCTTGCTGTTGCGTCTGGGCTGTGGGTCTTAAATGTTGCAGTCGGTGATTTTGGTGAGCCTCTTTCCTTTTACTATGCCCTTGTTTCGCTCTTGCTTCCCTAAGGACAGCTGACCTCCCAGGAGCAGGTTGGTTGGTTGAAGGGCTTCTCTCGGACCGCAGTGGCTGACTGAATGCCCTGGAGGAAGAATGATGGACAGACAAACAATCAGACAGAAGGACAAACATGCAAGCATACAAGAGACAAGTAAAAATGTACAGGGCAGAGCCGTAGCTGGGTGATCTTGGGCCCCTGGCAGAACCGTCCAGATTGTGCCCCCTATCCATGGACAAATTAGCTCTTCTTTCCGCCTCTCCTCCTCCCATTCAATTCACCCTCTATTAAAAACCTTTTCTTATGATGCAATAAATGATATTTTTATTTACAGACATATCTATGGACATATTTTAAGCCAGTTTTGCACACACACCCCTCGCCTGCGCCACTCTCAGGGGCTCACTTCACTACCCCCTAGCTATGGCCCTGGTACAGGGGGAAAGAGATGGGTGGTGGTAGGGGATTGTGTGTGTGTAAAATATTGAAGTAAGAAGAAAAATGAAGATGTGCAAATAAAAAGTATAAGGATAAGTATAAGAATTTAAAGATGAAGGTCAAAAATCAAAGCAGAGAGTTAAGTTTAAAAATGGAAGGTGAAGTTAAAAATTTAAAGTCAAAAATCAGAATGAAGATTCAAGTTAAAATGTGAAATAAAGCACACATATACCCACCCAAAAGAATGGAGGGGGGGAGCGAAAGTTACAAATTTAAGAACTGTTCGGCCTCCCTGGCTCAGAGTTCTGGTTTATTCTGCTGCATAACTAACATATCTTTCCCCTGTCTCCCTGGTGTGGTGAGAAGGGTGGGGAATGCAAATATTGATAATAATTATAATATTGGTGATAAAATTAATAAGAAAAGAAAAAAGGGGGAAAGGAGAAAGCAATGATAGTAGTAGTAGTAATATTTTTAAAAATTTAAAAAGCGGGTAGGGGTAATGATTAAGGAATAAACGTAAGACTAGAGTAAAAATAAGGAAAACTGATAAAAAGGAAAGGGGGAATTGCCCCCCTAAAGAAAACATTTTTTAAAAAAATTATCTGTTTGTTTATTTCTGAAAGTCTCCGTTGGGGCGCACCAACCTGAGGGTAGTTTTCGCAGCGTTTGGAAACTCACGAGGCTTGGGGATCGGTCGTGTCCGCAGGAGGGAGCCTTTGTCGGCTCAGGTCTCCTCCGTGGGCGGCACCATTCTCCGTCTCCTCCACGCTCACCCAGTCCAAAGCGAACCGGCTGGGCTTGGGGGGTCCCGACCCGCGGTAGCGGGCTCCGCAGACCCAGCTGGCCGTGGGTCAAAGCGACAGCAGTGGTTTCAGGGAGGCAGCGCCAGAAGCCGCCGCGCTCCTTCTCCTGCTCCTCGCGGTCCCGGCTCTCCGGTGGCGCAATCGCTGCGTCCCTCTCTCCAAAATGCGGCTAGAGTCGCTGGCGACTCGGGACCCGGGTCTGAACCTGGGTCTCCCCTTTGTTGGGCGGGGGGGGGAGATCCGGGGCCGGAGCGAAACGTGGGGATGATCTCCCCGCTTCTCCTCTCCTCCCGTGTTTTGCTTCGGGGTCTGCTCTAAAGCAGAGCGCATGGCCGGGCTCCCTCCCCGCTTCTCCCGGCGTTCAGCTGCTCCCCTACCTCCCCTTCTGCCTTTAAAGATTGGATGGAGCTTCACCTTTTCTCCAGCCCGTCGGTTTAGGGTCTCCTCCGTCTGGTTCCGAACTCCTGCGTCTGGATCAGCCCTGGGAGAGATGGCTCCCCCTAATTCGCCATCTTTCCCGGAAGTCCAACCACTGCAGAGTTACCGCTCATTCTAAAGCATTCCCGGGAGAAACACAAAGGAAAACTAGGAGATGTGGTCAGGCAAAACAAAACAAAAAAAGGGGGGGTTGTTGGCTGGGAGGAGGAAATTTGGCTGGAGTGCTGAAAGGGTTACTTGCTCTAGGAAGAGAAGGGGAGGTTTGCAGAGGAGGAAGGGGGTTGGGAAAGGGTCTAGGGAAGGTTTCGGGGCAAGAATCGGAAGAAAGCAACTGGAAGAGTTTGGGGCATGGAGGATTTTAAGCAGAGGTTTGGATGGCCATCTGTCATGGATGCTTTAGCTGAGATCCCTGCACCGCAGGGGGTTGGACTAGATGATCCATGGGTGTCCCACCCGATGGGACTGAAACCTGAATACAGGGGAAGAAGGGAGAGAGTGAGGGGTTTGCCTGCTGATGGGCTTGCCAGGGAAGAGAGAGCGGAGCGAGCCTGAACACCTGCAAGTATTTATTTGAGGATTTTTAGTATTTGTTGATCAAAAGATTCCTAGCTGGGAAAGGCACCAGCTTTTATGCCCAAGCTGGGCTCAAAATAATAGGAATAGTTATGTCTTTCTGGCAGTGTATGCAGACTCTCCAAAGTGTCCCTATTTTCCAGGGATGTTCCTGATTTAGAGAAGACGTCCCGGTTTCTGATATGATCCTGGAATGCCCCACTTTTCCTTAGGATGCCCCTATTTTCATTGAAGAAATGTTGGAGGGTATGGAGTTATCCAACCCCTGAACCATTTGAAGGCAATCCCTGTATAGGGAAGGTTTTTTATTGTTCAATGTTCTATTATATTTTTATATACATGCTGGAAGCTGCCCAGAGTGGCCGGGGCAATCCAGTACGATGTGTGGGGTATAAATAGTAAAAGAAGAATTCTAAGGTCTCAAATATAGAATAGATGTTCATAAATGTACCAGGCAAACACATACATAAGCATATAAACCATGTGTCTGAAATAGTACAGGAGAGCAATCCTGAAACCATTTTGGGTCTCCCAAATTGACCTCAAATATTTCTCTGTGAGGAGGAAGGAAATGGGCAAAGCTTTCCAATTGTCTTTGGACTTTCCAATTGTCTTTTTACACCTCCCTGCAAATACAGTCTGTTAAGCTGAGCAAACTATCAATATGCGTAAGAGATTCAGGAACTAAAGCATTTTCCATCTCAAAGGAATGGCCAGGCCACCCAGAAAAGGCAATCAAGTAAGTCATTATCAGGTATCCTGGCAGGAGAGAAGCAATCCTCTCAGATTTCTGCTGGAGACCACCTCCTTCTGTGATGGAGTATATATGATGTTTTCAGGGGTGGTCTTGGGCTACAGGGTGGGCAATTTCAAAAGTTTATAGGGGCTTGCGCACCATTGTTCTGGGTCTCTCCTACCTTCTTGCAAGGAGGGGAAGGAACTCTGTTGCAACAGAAAAATAAAGATCTGCCTTGCTTTCTATGGATCTTGCCTCCATCCATTCATCTCTGACTGATCATGGACTGATCAGTCCCTTGGGGAGTTGGGAAGCAAAAGCCAAACCCCCTGTTTTTTCTATAACACCTGCAATAAATAAAGAAACCTTGGGGTAAATTCCCTCACCTTTTTTCCAGAAAAAAAAAAGCACTGGCAAAAAATCCCCACACTTTGAACAGTTTTATCTTATGTGATCTTATGTTTTGTTCTCTTTTTTGCAAGATCACACACCACCAGAGGTCCTCCTGCAGCCCTCTCAGCAACAGCCCTAACAGGCTTGGCTGCTGAACTACAACTCCCAACATCCCTTGCAGCAGGTATTGCCCCGCAGGATTAGAAGTGCAATCCAGCCACAGCTAAGGACTCCAAACTAACACAGAGGCCAACAGCTACTGAAACAGATGGGCTCAGCCCAGGGCAGGGAGGCCCCCAGCAGAATCCTTGGGGTGGGAGCAAGGAGCACCCAACCCAGGGGGCAAGGAGGACAGCTGGACACAATATGGGTAACAGGGAGGCGTTGCCACAGAGTGGGTGCCAAAACCTATAAGGGGCTATCAAAAGGGGATCTCCCATTGCCACAGAAGTGGCAGGTCCTACAGTCACAATTCCAGCCATGTAACAGGGAACACACACACCCCACCAAAGGGTCTCCTGGGGAAAGGGCTCAGGCCCGGGGCTAGGGAGGGTATTGCAGCTATTGGTCAGGGATAGCATTTTGTGTGCTCTGCCTTCCTATCCCCACTTGTGTTCACAAGCCTTCCTATAAATCAGAGTCCAGGGGCTCTGTGGTTTGATGGGAGCTCAAATGAGGAAATTGGCATGTATCTGGAGAGCCCACAGATACTCAATGGGTGGCCTCTGATGCAATCCTGCTCAAGAGGAGACCCACTGGAATTAATTGGAAAGGCTGGCTTGGGCTCATACATTTCCCTGCGTCTGCTCTGAGTCATTGGCGACGTCCCAATATTTCTGGCACGATGCAGCAGGCTGACTTGAGGAAACTGAGGCAAGGCTTGCACTAGCCTCAGAGGAGACCTTGGGCCAGAGTTTGTTTGGGCTGCTTTCTTTTCTGTCCTTGTCCCAAAGTCCTCCTTTCCTCCACAGTCGGCAGCCTTTTGGGCTCTGTAATAAACAAAAATCTGCCCTTATTCCCTTATGGAGGACACAAGAGCCCTTTTAGAGTCCTTTGCAGGTTCTCCATCGGTCGGAGAAAATAACAGAGGCCAACCAGAGAATATTGAGAAGCAAAGCAGCTAGTAAGCCTGATCTTTATTGAACTGTTGCAACAGGGTGCCCCCTTCACACACAGGAGAAAGAGGAGGACCCAGAACAAAAGTGTGTCAGCCCTTATATAGACATTTTTAATTGCCCGCCTTGGAGTCCAAGACCACCCCCAGAAACATACCTACATCACAGAAGAGGTGTGGCTCAAGAGAAATCTGAGTACGTTATTTACCTCCTGTCGGTTGTTTATCTCCTGTCTGGTGGGTTACCTGTTAATGCTTACTTGTTGGATACCCTGGGGAGCCTGGCCAATCTTTTGTAATGATAAATACTTCCTGAGCCAGGTCACAGGCTCACCCTATTCATACACAGATATACCCTTAAGACAGGTTTTGTGAATGAAAAGACAATGGGGAGGCTTTTCCATTTTCCTTTGACCTTGCAGAGCAAACCTTTGGTCAGTCTGGGAGCCAAAATGGTTCCAGGGCTGTTTACCTGTGCTGCTTCAGACATGTGGTTTATATATTTATGTACGTGTTTGCTTGGTACATTTATGAACATTTATTATATATATAAGACCTTAATTTTTTTATTTCAGCTCCATGTCAGGAGAGCTGTAGTAGGCAAGCCTTTGCTGCTGCTGCACCACCGCCGCCGCCACCACCCGCCCTTTACGCTTCTGCACTTCCTGGCAGGGCTTGTGTGTCGCAGACACTTCAAGCTGCTCCGAGGATGTTGCAGTGGAAACTCTGAGTGTCTTCAGTCTCTCTTTGCTGAAAGACTTGCCAAGACTCCTACTCAGTGATTCCAGGACACCCCAAAAGCATACCTTCCCTTTCCCTTTACAGGAGTAAACAAGGTGGCACGAATTGGATGGGAGAAGTCTAATTAAGCAAGAGCCAGGAGATAGCTGGAAACGGAGAAGGATGCACCTGGGAGTCTGTCTCGCAGCCTTGGGTCTTGTCCTCCCTTTGTGTAAGTACACCTGGCTTGTTGTGGTGGGAGGGCTGGATTGGGTGGGAGGACATCAGAAGGACACACATTACCTTGCTGGGACAAAAGGGCCCTCCAAGGTCCATCTAGGCCTCGGTTCCTAGCGGTGGCCACCAAAGGGAACCTGGAAGCCCACAAACTGGGCACGAAGGCAATGCCCTCCTCTGCTACCATGGTGGCCCATTTGGGTTACATCAGAGCAGCCAATCCAAGAGTTTGCCCCTCGCTGATGATGCTGAAACAGGTTCTCCTAACACCGCAGGAAACTCCCAGACCATTGCTGTGGTGCAGTGGATCAGTGCATCTGACTATCAACCAAAACATTGGTGGTTCGAGCCCACCCAAGAATGGCTGTGGGCAGGATTCCTGCATTGCAGAGGGTTGAACTAGATGACCGTAGGGGTCCCATCCTGCTCTACAGTTCTCTGATTCTATACATGCAGCCAGGGGGCTGTGGGGACAGGCAGGTAACCTGGAACTCATTTAAAGCGAGGGTTTGGTAGCACCTCTGCAGATGCTGCAGGAGCCATTGTGCCAAAGGGCCTTGAAGAACGGTCCTTGCTAAAATTCCACCCAAGAAGCACTTTTAAGGGGCTGAGCAGGAGGATCACAGGTTTGGGGATGACGTCCTCTCCTCCTCCTTCATGCTTCAGCCAGCTCTGTTGAGGGAGAGATGATTGGGGCACTAGGGAGGGCCCCCCGTAGACGGTGCCAGGGCTATCTGCAGGCGGCTTCCAAGTGTTTCCAGCAATAGGTGGTTTGGGGCACTGGGACTTAAAATATGCCAGGAAAAGGACACAGGCACTGAGGGAACTGGGAAATGTCCCCACCCCCATCAAGCTCAAGAGCATGTTTACATGGATCAGGCTATCCCTGGGCAGGTGAGGCCCTCAATCCTTTGAAAATCAACCCAGCAGTAGCAGCAGAGCTGGATTCCTCACAGCTTCCTTGCAGACACTAATCCTGGGGATCTTAACTTCCACATTTCTCTTGCATAGCTTGCCCCCCATCTTGGCCCTGCTGCAGATTGGGGCTAGGCCCCCGCCCACATACCTAACACAGACCCCACCCTCCAAGTACTTGTCCCTATTTTCCAGGGACAGTCCCAGATTTACAGAAGCCATTCCAGTTTCTGATTTGATCCCGGAATGTCCAGCTTTCCCCTTAAAGGTAAAGGGACCCCTGTGAAGTCCAGTCGCGGACGACTCTGGGGTTGCAGCGCTCATCTCGCTTTACTGGCCGAGGGAGCTGGCGTACAGCTTCCGGGTCATGTGGCCAGCATGACTAAGCCGCTTCTGGCAAAGCAGAGAAGCACACGGAAATGCCGTTTACCTTCCTGCTGGAGCGGTACCTATTTATCTACTTGCACTTTGACGTGCTTTTGAACTGCTAAGTTGGCAGGAGCAGGGACTGAGCAACGGGAGCTCACTCTGTTGCGGGGATTCGAACCGCCAACCTTCTGATCGGCAAGCCCTAGGCTATGTGGTTTAGACCACAGCGCCACCCGTGATGCCCCTATTTTCACTGGAGAAATGTTGGAGGGTATGGAGTTATGCAACCACCAAGCCAAGGAGATACATAACTATACAACCTTTAGAAGACATGTGAAGGCAGCCCTGTATAGGGAAGGGTTTTTAAAATTGTTTAATGTTTTATTATGTTTTATATATGTTGGAAGCTGCCCAGAGTGGCTGGGGCAACCCAGTCAAATGGGCAGGGTAGAGATAATAACAATAATAGAATAGATGTCCCTTTTTTCATTGGTGAAATATTGGAAGGTATGTTAACTAGAGGGGAGGGGGCATTGTGCTTGTTTCCATAATTTATATCCCGCAGCTTCAACATAATTTCTGCTGCTAAATGTTCTAATTCAAAACTATATGAAACAAAATATCCTAACCGATGTTTCTGACTAAAACAGCTGTGGTCGGTTCAAATAAAAACTTCCTATGAGTTAAAAGCATGAGTCTTAGCATCTCTTAAATGCCCTGGTAGAGAGAGAACTGTCACAGATGGGAGAAGCTGTTGTTACTTTCCCCTCAGCTCTGCTCCCCCCACTACATTCCACATGGAGGCCCCCCCCCACTGCCCTTGGCATGAGAGGTCCTGAAACAGAGAGAACCAAAGGTTTCTAAAGACCTTGGACAAGGCTTTTCCGAGGGGCTGGTGAATTAAGTCAGAGCTCTTTCTCAGCCAGAGGCACCAAGGAAAGGGCAGAGTGGAGACTTTTTTGCCCTAGCCTTGTGGTCACCTGTCTTTTCTACTGTTCTCTAGCCTCATCTTCTGAATCGCACAAAGGTGGGCATCTCTGGGCGCCGCGTGACTGTCACCTGCCCTCTAGAAAATGCCAATTGGAAATTGGTCAATAAAAAGAATGGAAATTATAATGTCACCGAAGAAAATGAAATCTTGACCATTGAAGCCATGAACAACATGGAAGTGGTCAAGGGTGACTTCACCTGTCAGAATGGCACGGCATCCCGCAAGATTTATCTGCAAATCAAAGGTCAGTGCTCAAGTTTGAGGTTCTGGTGCTAGAAATCCTCTGCGTTCTTCAGGCAAGAGCTACTGTGAGGGTTGACTATGCTCCAACCCCAGTATGCCTCTGAATAATACCAGTTGGTGGAATCGAAGGGGGGGGGGAGAAGAGTGCCGTCCAGCTCTTCTCCTGCTTGCAGGCTTTGTTTTGGGGCATCTCATTGGCTGCTGTGACACTCGGTTAGCTGGGCCACCTTTGGCTTGACCCAGCTGCAGGGCTCCTCTGATGTGGGAGCTGGAGGGATCCAAGGGAGATGCAAAGAGCTTCTCCTCCTCCTGTGCCAGAAGCCAAGTCTGGGGTATCCATTCCCTGACCTTGCAAACAAAGCCTGGCCCTAGCAGACTTGGATAAAACTGGAGGAGACAGCCGCCCCACCCCAGTGAGATCTTTCTCCAGAGCCAGATTGTTCCAGAACACCCCAATACATTTTGCTGTCTGCAGTGAAGGACAAAACAAATCCCTCCCACCCCCTTGTATGTGTAGGAGCATCTACAGGCTGGAGGGCAGCTCTATGCAGAGCTCCTCTGCTGGACTCCGGCGCACAAGAGAGCTTCCTCGCATGATGGCTCAGCACTACCAGGCTGCCCAATCCACCAGGGGATGCAACATTTTACCCACCAGGCGCCAGCAACCTATGCTATGCCACTGGCTCTGTGCACCAACCCCTTCCTTGCCCCATGCTGCCTAATTGTAGGGCTGGCCCAGTTTCCATGGCTTGACTCTCTTGCTCTCCTGGGCAGCCTGTGATGACTGCGTGGACCTGAGCATCGGGCTGGTGGCCGGCATTGTCGTTGCTGACCTGCTCATTACCCTGGGGATCATGTTCCTGGTCTACTACTGCAGCAGCAAGAAGCCTACCACCAGCTTGGGTGGTGGGGCCGCAGGGGGAGGCGCCCGCGGACGGACACGAGGTGAGTACTCTTGTGGTACACCAGGGCTCTCCACAGGGGTGCCTTCGGCTTCCTCCGTTGTCCCACAGAGAAAATTGGAAGTCATCTAAGCTGGGGTTGGATTGGTAAATGAATGCCGAGCATATATGGCTCCCATCTGGAGCTGGAGGCGGGGAGGGTTGCAGATTTGGTAGCAAGGGTGGGCTCTGATACACCCACAGCTTAAGAATGAAGGCTCCTCTGGGTGTTGATGGGATGGGATCAGCTGGTTCAGCGCTTGCTTCAAGGGGTGAACTGGAGGAGAAACCAGCTGGTTGGCTGGCTGGCTGGCTGGCTAGACCCCAGCAGGGATCCTGATTGGCCCAGCCCAGAGGTCATAGCAGCAGCAGTTGCTCTGGGGTGGGGTGGGGGGACTTTACAGCCCCATCGTTCTGACACAAAGTAGTTCAGCTAAAGCACCCAGGAGTTCCTTGTACGTGCGGACAGGGGCTGATGCCCCACGCTTAACCACCCTGCAATAACCACCTCTGATTCTTGGCTGTGCTAACAAATACCCACTTTGCATTGTCTTCCAGGCCAAAAGGTGGACCGCCCCCCACCTGTCCCAAACCCAGACTATGAGGTAAGCACAGCAGAGGGTGGCTGCCAGGGGCTGGGAGGGAGAGTCTATGGAGGGCGGCCAAAGAACCTGGAACCTGATCACCATCAGCACTGGGAGGGCCAAGGGCTAGACTGGGCACACCTGGCAGGAAGGCCCTGCAGCCCTCTGGGTGCAGCTGCTTACTCACCTGAGGCAACCAGGCCCTGCTTGCTGGTGACCCCCATGGCCTCTCCAGGGAGAGACAGAAATGGTCCCATCACAGAAGGACCTTTGGTGAGTAACCTCTCCTCTTTATTCCAACAGCCCATCCGGAAAGGCCAGCGGGAGGTGTATGCTGGGCTGGAGCCCAGGGCCTTCTGAGACACACCACAGTCTCTGTGTGGAGCCGCAGTGCCACGAAACCTCATTGTTGCTGATTGCTGGTGGCACCGCCATCTCCCTTTGCCACCAGCAGCTTCCCTTGGTGGCAGGTGGGTTGCCACACACCTCTCCCTGAGTCTCACAGCCTAGAAAACCACCCTCCTTCTCTACAGCTCGGTCCACTCCCTTCAATGGGTCCAGGTGCGCCTCCGATGGGGTCCTTCCCAGCTCCTTGATGTCCCAGTAGAAGAGCCTCCTTCTGGGTCAGACAATCGTCATATCCAAGCCATGCCTGGAGCAACTTTAGCCCTGCACTGCAGAGAAGGATGTGGGGCACAGAGAGCTGGGAGTCACAGGGACTGGGAAGGGTGCTATGGGCTTAGGGTCATAGGCCCACCTGGGCTTGCACTGTGAATGGTGTTCCAACTCTGAGCCAGCTCAGATTCTCCCGATTCCTCCTCTCCAGCCACACACCTGGGCAGGAGCTGGTTGCTGGGTTATGCAGGTGGGGGAGAAATGCTGGGCAGAGAGGCTTGTCCCATTGTAGAGCCTTAACTATGGGGGCTGACAGAAGCCGAGCCCTGTTCTAAGGCATCTCCCCTTTGTTCATTCATCAGTCCTGGCCCACCTTTAAGCCTCTTTGTAGTCTGGTCCCCACCCCAAAAGTGCTCCTGTGACCCAGGGAGGACGGTCGGTCCTGATTAAATAATCTAAGCTGACTTCTCTGCTGCCCTTCTCTCACCCAGCCATGCTGTGTTTGGGCACCACAGCAGATGCGCTGACCCCTTGGGGGACAGAACTGTATGTATTTTGTTTTGGTTGTGTTTGCAAGGAATTCTAATAAAGTGCCTTCCAGGCCAGCGTGCTGCATCACACTGGCTCTCTTTGCACGTCATTCTTTAATGGGTTGGTATGTTCTTTGCTGGGAATTCCTGATGACTTTGTAACTAACAGGGGACTCAATAAAATTCACGGATGTGGCATAGTGGGAAAAGGCAGGGCAGAGAAGGCAGGGATTTCTGGTTATGTCCAGGGTGGGAAAACTTAAAAGCTGTCAGGAAGGCAGGTGAGGAAGATACGCTAGTCAGAGCGGCGGCAGCAGAAGGCATTAACACCATGGGCCAGAAACTCTGGCTGAGTAGCCCCTCAGCACCCTCTTGGGAGCCCCTCAATTCTCTCTGCTGCCCAGGGACTGCTTGATGGGGAAGGGCAAGTAGCAAACACTTATTCCCTCGCCCCACAGGAAGTGGCAGTTGCGGGAAGAGCTGTGGTCCCACGTAAGAGCGCTCAGCACTCAGCTACCACGGCACTTGTTCCGCAGGATGTGGTCAAGGCAAGCACAGCTGCGTTTTCAAGAAAGGCGAAAAACAGCTCCTACGTGCAAAAGGCATCGGAGTCCAATGTGTGGCTGCGCCTTTGTGCAAGTTGCTGACTTTGTGTGGAGCTTAAACTCTCAGAGCAAGCTACCCATCTTCCTTCAAAACACATTCAGCCACACACCACTCAAAAGACTGCAATTTGTTTTCAGTAAAATAAGTAATTTAGAAAGGTATCCGCCACACACAAATGAGATGCAGTTTCATTGGAAACTGGAGTTGCATTTCCTTTTTTATTATTATTGATTTCATTCTATTGATGCATTGCTTGCTATAAAACAGCTCAGAGCGAACAGACCATGTTCAAAGTGGATCGCTGCAGAAACAACAAAAGCCCTTTTGGCTTTCTTAGTTATTGGAGCCCCTTCAAATCAGAGGGGAAAGTTGTGGGGAAGGAAGAACAAAGGGATACCAGCTCAATAGTAGGGACAGGGGTTACATTTTGAAATGAAAGCACAGCAACAGTCAAACTATTTCTACACCCTTAACTATAGCTTGAAGCAACCTTCCCTTTTGAGCTCCCCATGGCCAAAGGAGGAGCCATCAGCAATTCACTCTTTGCTGCCACATCAGAGGAAGAACGCTTTGTCCCCTTCTCACCGGTGGCGGGTCTTGGCCACTCCGATGTGGCTGTACTGCCCATTGTTGCGTTCTCCGAGAGGCTGGAGGGGAAGAGAGGCCTGCGGTTAGAACAAGGGTCTGTACTTTTCTTAACCTGCACTAGGAACTTGCAGGTTGACCGAGGAGGATTTGGGCAAGACTAGTCTGGCGCATGGGACTGCTAGCGGACCGTGTCTGCATTGAAAGCCCACCCTCCCAGCTGCGCTTGACCCATCCTGACGCCACTGGAGATGGGGGTTCCTGTTAGCTATCTGGAGGCTGCAGGGATTTCCAGGGGGACAGCGGGGTTAGTCTGCTGCAGCAAAACCAGCAAAGGCTGGATCTATTTCAGCTGCCCAGCCTGGAGTCTCTGCCCTTTGTTTATTCATTTTTTTATGGCAAGAGGTTGTGTGGTGTCATGACCTGTCTGTGACAGATCGGAGTTTTCCCAATATTTCTTCCATCTCACACAAAAAATGACAGTTTCTGTTGAACCAGTAGCACAATCACTTCTTTCTTAGTACTACTGCCTGCCTTTTCATGGCATGTTAAAGATTTAGCAGGTTTACTAGAGCAGAAGCTCTAGATTCACTTTCTCTGTCTACTTGTTTTTTTAAAGAGACCAGGAAATCTCTTACAGAATAGTGACAAACATGCACAGAACTTACAGCAGGCTCTGTATGAAAGAGTTGCTGCAAGGGCTGCTCACCCTGTAGTCCCCTGACCACTTGAAATGTCTCAATGCTGGGCTAACCTGGTTCTGACCTAGCCTGTCCCTTTAAGAGTACCCAGTTTTTCTAGACCAGGAGCTGGGAATCTCCCCCCTCCCTTGCCTTTGCTGAACTACAACTCCCATCAGCCCCAGCAAGCCTGGCTAGCGGACAAGGATGGTGGGAGTTTTAGTTCAGCCCCATTAGAGTACCAAAGGTTCCCCACAGTTGCTCTGATCCTCTATCATGTTTAAGTGGGGAGCCCCCACCCCACCCCACCCTAGTCTCCCCTCCAATGCACAAGCAGAGAAAAGTTGGGCAACTCCTGCAGTGATGAAATCATGAAAGCCCAGTCTCTCCACTTCCAAAAGGTGGCACCCACCCTGGCGCTATGCTTCTCTTCCTATCAGCTAGCCAGAGTCACCCGTCAATCAGAACTCACCTGAACCAAGAGCTCTTAAAAACAGAACATTGCCAATGTTCCTTTTCCCCTCATGATCTTTCAGACCACGCAGGATGTTGCCACGTTACTGCTGAAGAGTGTGGAAACTTGTTTGTAAGCTGAAGAACGTTGATAGACTTGAAATGCTTATTTTTGTAAGCCCCATTCATTCTTAAAATTGTGCCACTGGAGTTTGATGTTCGTTTGCAACTGCTCACTCCGGTGGCAGACTTTGGTAATATGGTGCCCTGAGCAAGGACAAAATTTGGCGTGCACCCCCCCCCAAATCTTATTTTCCCAACAATTCATTTTGGTGCAGCGACACCAAAACGACAAGAACTTTTCATGAACCTTCTTAGTAGTTACCAATATAAATATAGGTATTAACAACAACAACATCATGCGCCTCCTTGACTCAGTGCCACCACCCTAAATCTAGTGCTGCTTACTCATGGGAGAGATTGTGTGCCTAGACCTCTTGGATTCAGCCTATGAATTTGTGTCCGAGGAGGCTGCTATCTAGGGAAGAAAAGAAAGCTGTTCTGTTTCCTGTAGAAGGAGAGGTGTAGGCTGAGTGCTTCTTCCACTTAAGAATGGAGGCTTAAGAATGGCCTTTGACTCCGAGCCAGAGAGGAAAGGGCTGGGAGCACCAACACACCTCATATTTGGAAACAGCTGCAGCTTCTGTTTCAGGAGTTAAGGACTCTCCCTGCTTCCTGCTACAAGCCCCACATCACAGCAAACTTCAGTTGTCTGGAAAGGACTGCAGGTGTTCTCATCATCCATTTATTCTTCCTTTAATATGTTTTTTTCCCCAAATGAAGTTGCTTTGGGGATTTTCTGCCACCACAGTCTCTTCATTTTACCCCATTGGGAGGCTAATCTCTGGCCACGAGGGCTAGAAACTAGCTTTTTAAAAGAACACACAGACAGAATCATGATTCCCAGGAGAATATATTGCCTCTGCAAAGCAGCACCCTAGGCTGAGGCAGAAGAAGCTTTGCAGAAGTCAATGAATTCTTGGATGCAAAAGGCCCCTCATTTCACAGCTTGGGAGGAGCTGTCCAGGAAAACACCACCATGGAGGAGAGGAAGGGACTGACCACAGGCACACACTCACCTGGTAGAGCTGCTCATTGGCTAATAGGGTCTGCTTGTCAGAAGCTGCAAAGTCAAAACAGGAAATTTCAGGATGACTCCAAATGGGTGATTAACACAATTAAAAATTAAATATACCAGGTATGGGAGCGTGGATGCCAACATAGACATTGTGTAGCACCCTGCTTGTGGTTAACGCTTAGCTGGAATGAAATATTCAACGCAGCAATAGAGAAATTAAAATAATAATTTATTTGTCAGACAAATAAATGAGAGGCACAGTGGTATATGGTTACCAAGCTCTGGCCTGGCCTCCTGCCATTATGGCCAGCACTTATATTCCCTTAATCCAGCCCCCTTTGCTCCTCCTGTGGCTGCCTCTGTCCAATCAGCCTGGTTGAAATTCCTATTGGCTGATTGGTATGACCAATCACAAAAATATACACCCATATCCTCCTGTCCTTATATGGAACACAAAGAGCTATATATTGTTACATCTATAAATGACAAATAAGTAGTAATATATCTTACATGTGTCTCAACAAGGAATCTTAATTACCAGCTCACCTCTTGCCCTCCTTGCCCTATTGCCTTCTAAAACAAATGGTTAATCTTAAATTTTTATCTTAAACATATGTCAAGGATCTTGAGTTTCACATCAACATTGAAAGATCTCCTTCATTTGAAGGTTTCTAAACAAATGTCTGACAACTATATATCAGGACTGCTTGGATGGCGTCTCCCGTCCGGCAGGGGGGCTAGGCTGGTGGCTGACTTAATTTCAGGATAAATACAACTCTTACAACTATATGAAATAAGAATCTAGCATTTCTTAAATCCTTTGCATAATTACATCTATGCCAATACACTTAATACACAACACAGGTAGCCTCTTAAAAGGAATAAGGTCTTTGTAAAGTAGAAAAAGGAACTCAGTAAAAAACCGCTTCAAAAGAAGCCTCTTCAGTCTACACCCCCCCTCAGCCAGCTGCTTTTCCCATTTGCTTTTCCCAACATTTATTGCCCTTCAACTCTCTCAGTTTAAGAAAGAAACAGCTTTTAAAAAAGACTTCCCAAAAATGCTCTCTTTCTGCCAGCTAGATGCTTCTCCATTGCTCTTGGCCTTTTTAACCTTAGAAAGAAGATCTGGCTCATTTTACTGGGAGGCACATTGGTATTATTTTACTATTTACTCATTCCTAATTATGTTTATCTCTGCCTTTTTTATCTTCTGTAACATGTAGGGTCAGTGTCCTCGCTCTCAGTCTGTAATTCCAGCTCTTACGACTTTGAGAATTGTTTTCTGCTATAAATCAAGGGGCCCCTTGTCTAGGAGGAAAACATTGCCTAAGGTTCTCTAAGCAGCTGGCATGAAACATTTGAAAATCTAAGCCCATTTAATTTAGGAACCTGATCAAGATATAAGCCAATATAAGTCTTGATTAAAAATGCAGTCTATATTCAGATGCCACATTTGCTCCCTTTTTCAAGGCTGTTTCCCCATCTCCCAGGAACTGCCTGTGCCCCAATGCTCACCCTGAGATCGTCGGCCCGGCTCCCCCGCAGCAATGCAGTACACGCCAACAGCCAGGAAAAACGTAGCCACGATGCTGGCCAGCAGAATCCCCATGATCGCGGCAACGTCCAGACGAATACAATTCTGGCACAC